AAAAAAAAAAAAGAAAAAGAAAAAGAAACGAGAAAAAGATAACTTATAAGTACTTTTCCTACTTTCCCTGCTTCTTCGAAGGCTTTCCTCCGAGTTTTCCAGTTTCTCCGTCCGCAAAACCTAACAAGATAAATCCCACTTCTCATTCTGCGAGTTAGCCTTGCCCTGACTTACATCAGCGTTAGAGGCTGTTTCAGGCTTCGATTTGCGTGTAAGCTGTGCCCTGACTTAGATCAGCTCAGAGGTTGCTTCAGGGTTCGATCTGTGTGTTAGCCGTGCCCTGACTTATAGATGAGCTCAGAGGTTGTTTTAGGGTTCGATCTCAGAGTTATAGCCGTGCCCTGACTTAGATCAGCCCAGAGGTGTTTTCAGGGTTCGATCTGTGAGTTAGCTGCGCCCTGACTTGTTGTTTCATAGTTCAATATATAAGTTAGTCGTTCAATCTCTGAGTTAGACTTAGATCCGCCCAGAGGTTGTTTTTTGGATTCGATTCGATCTGTGAGTTAGCCGTGTCCTGACTTTAGATCAACCTAGAGCCGGGCTGTTTCAGGGTTAATTGTTAACATACCATGCACCGAACGTTTGGAGGGTTTTGCTTCACTGATGATGACATAGACGCACAGAAAAGTGATCAAAAGCAGTTTCGAGTTCACCATTTCTTCGTTGTCTTGGATTCTTCTTGAACGCGTTCAAAATCAACCTGCTTTCAACTTAAAATGCTTAGAAATAGGTTCTGCCTTGCCTTAAAATAGTATTCTTACAAAAGGTTCATTCAATTCAGAATTTAATTGAATTTAAAATTTTTGATTATAGAATTCAAGTCAATAGCTCTGTACTTTTCCATTATCGCATGCACGACAGGGATGTAAACGAAAACCGAAAACCTAATCACCTTTCATTGTCCAAAGTACAGATGGCCCAAAACAGTCTGTAATTGGGTATGAAGGAAAACAATGGAAAACTAAACGAAATTAACAAACGTGAAATAATGATAGAGTGTAGATAATTCGATCTATTCTACCATCTTCTTTTTCTAATAACCTTCGCTTTAAAGTGGCACTTGAACGAAAATCGCTCCAAAATTAAAACTCTTTCATTTGAGCTGAAACTTTACTGAAATAATCTTTGATACATAATTAATCACTCACTGAAACATTATCTTTCTGATGTTCGGATGAAAAGTTTTCCTCTTGAGTAATTCAGCACATATAAGGAATGTCATTGAAAAAAAGTTAAATAAAGGTGACGGATTGATTAAGTATTTAATGCTAACAAACGAAACACTAGCTTGTTGACCACAAACAAGTAACCTCTCGAGGCATGGCATACGTACATATGTTTCTTCCACGTATATTTATGAATTTTCAATTAGCCAATTCGCACAATTAGTGCATCATCAGGATAACGCAGAGAGGGTAAAAGTTAGTGAGGCAATTAAGGCTGTAAGTGGTTTTGGATTTTATTTTGTAAGTTAAGAAAATCTGATCTACTTAATGTATTTCCTTTCAACGTCTTGACAAACTTTATTTCAGGGTACAATAAATTGCAATAAATACTAACAAATATTATCTTGAGAAGCTAGCAGTTCAAGCTAGTCAAAGCAAAACCAAAGGATACGATTGTTAAGATTTTGAAATTCATAGCTTTGAAGGAAAATTCGGTAAAAGTACTTTTTTTTTACTTAAAAACGAAATATATTTGCAATTACAAGATATCATTTGATGATGGGTTATCATAAGTGGTGTCGTATTTACAACACTCGCGCAAAACAATAACATTCACAAACACACTTACACAAATAAATCAATACTCAAGCGTGATTAGCTTCATTAGTCAAGGTGCCAGAAAACCAGATGTTCCAACATCATAYATAAATCTTATACTCATTAATTATTCATGAGCTCATCGACCAACCAGGGTTTCTTATTTGTACCACGTGCAGTAGTTTGAAACCCGACCAATCAAATACGACCGCACCCATTACAAAGTTCTGGTACTTTGAAATAAAAGCAAACATACAAAAAGAGTACTACGCCTCGGCATTTGAAATTCCACTTGGATTTTGAAACCCCAATAGAATCCAGCAACTCGTATTTGAAACATTACATCAAAAACCAATTATTTCAGTTTTCTAAGAAAGATTGGCGTGATTTTTGTGACGGTCTTTCTCCAACTTTCTTCAGACCATTTGTCATTCCCTTAATTATTTCATGTCCTTATTTGTTTATTACACTTTTCAGTAGGGTCGATATTAGTGTGATTGAGCCCGCATATCAGTGAATTCAATTCAATTCAATTCAATTCAATTTCAATT